TACCCTAGACGAGTTATTTCCCTTAACAGCCATAGCAAAGGATTTATTTTTATTTTTTTCAGAGCTCCATCTACTGTTTGTTTTATCCCCAGAAACAGGGGTGCTGTATGTAAGAGGGCGGCTATGTTGCAGATCCACTGCATTGGATCTCAAAGCTCGCAGTCTGTTAGAGTCGTTTTTAGTTTCATCACTTAATAGTTCTAGTAGTTCTAGTACTTAATAGTTCTTAATAGTTCAGTGCCACAAACGGTAAAAATTGATTTTTTTGGTCTTTTTTGGTAACTGCAATACTCAAGACTTTTAAAACTAACCCTTTATGCACAGGAAAAAATCCCGTCCCGTCCCGAAAATCGGGAAGGAAATAAAAATCCTGTTCCGTCCTGTTCCGAACTGAAAATTCAAAACAGTCCATCCCTACTTCTAATGGAACCAATTTTGTTAGTTAACGGGTCGCTGGAAAGCCTAATTTGTGTAGATTACTAGATTTGCAAATAATTATAAAAATGTGATTTTATTACATATTAGTGGTGAAAAAGTAAAAATAACAAAAAAAATTTAAAAAGGGGTTTTCTAGTTTTTGTTTTCATGTTTATATTTGTAGCCAACTTTTGGCTGTCTTTATTGATTATTTTTAAGAAATACATTTTAGTAATTTGTAGTAAACTGTATTCTATTTCAGAATGTCACCTTCCACTTTGGTCGATTTACTCACCATTTATACGTATTTATGGGTGGTTATATATTAGGTTACTAGCCCGGTAAGTGGTGATTTACCATGCGAGCACGGTAAAGCTGCTCGCATGGTAAGTTATGATTCATAACTTTACACTACACAGAAAAATTAGTACATTTTAATCTCATAACACAATTTATTTAGGAAATAACATAAATGATAATATTTTTATATTTCAGAAAATAAAATAGGCCGTTGCAATTAGCTGTTTATTTCATCAGCTGACTAAGTACACGGTAAAAGTACATAACGTACTTTTCCGTGTGTAGGCACGGCAAAGCAGCCTATCAATACAGATGCAAAAGTACCTGTTTCTGTGTAGAATAATGTAAAAGTGTTTTCCTTATGACATGTGTCTTTCTAAAATTAGGGGCTTAAGCCTCGTTCACACGGGGCGAGTTTACACGCTACTCGCCGGCGTGTAAGAAGCCGGCGAGTTGGCGAGTGTGCTTGTATTCGTTCACACGGAGCTTGTCCACTTACCAACTCGCCGACGTGTAGAAAGACGCCAGCGAGTCGGCGAGTGCGCTTGTAGTCGTTCACACGATGCTTTTTCCACTCGCTCAGTAGCTGGCTTGAACTAAATCCTCCGACATCTTCGAATTACCGATTTACTTTTTTGTTTTGAGGTCTTCAGAGAACAAAAACATCATCCGTCCAAATCCACATGTATAAATGTGTCCGTTAGCACGATAACTCGAGTGAAAATGATCCGATTTTGATGAAATTTGGTACAAACATGTAAATCTATGTTTATTCAACCGAATTCACGAACCAGCATGATCGGACTATGGAAACTGGGGTTTATTGGGGGGTTTTATGGGATGAAAATTAGATTTTTTTTTCATTTTTGCCCCAAAAACTTGAAATATGGAGTTTTTTCCAAACCATTTTGTAGAGCTTAAAAAAATAAATAATTTTGTATGTTGAAGTGTTGTTCGCCTTATGGTTGCGGAGAAAATTCCATAAAACTGTAAATTTGAAATTCCCATGTTATTCTTATGGAGAATAAGTAAACTGCCATAGTTTGCTTGTTTATGTATACTTTGTGATAAAATATTTAAGGAAATTTTTTTATATTCCTAGTAAGATATTAATATTTCACAATAAAAATTACACATTAGACCTACTACATTCCTTGTAGCAGCAAACTGCGTGTGTGCAAATGTTATGGGAATATATCTGCCATTTTAAGCAAATATTTGTGTTACAATCCAATCAGGTAAATAAAAATTTGCTTAGTCTGCAGTTTTTCTGCGGCTGGTGTATTTGTATGGTTTTGTCAGCCAATCACTATATTACCTAATTGCCACAGAATACTAATACGAGGATTGTCAGTAAATTAAGGTCTCCATCGAGCTCTCACCACAGCCAAGCTAGTACAAACTCCAATTGGATGATTATTCTGGTCACAGTATTAAAAAACGTCGTGAAAGAAAATTGACGCTCCAACTGAGAATAAATTAACAAGTCTGTGATTAGATTTCATCACCAATGAACGGAGTTAAATTGAGTACGGTGTTTGGATGCAGAAAATATAAGCGATAAGTGGATGAAATTTGGAGATGGTATCTAACGAGTTGTTAACGGGGGGGGGGGGGGGGTTCCCTTTCCTCCCTACAAGTTGCGTTGTTTGTTTACTCCAGCAATTAGATAATCAGTTCTCAAAATCGTAACGCACTTTATGATGTTATAAATTTACTGCACAGATAACAAATCAGATCAGATGTGCTGGAGCTACCAACGATGATGACAAACTAACAATAGGCTATGCTATATTTTTTGTGACCAATACAAAATAACTAATTCTTAGACATATCCTGTGGAGATAAGCGTAAGGTTCAGTTATCATCGCCCAGCGTGGGAGCGGAAATGTGAAGATTCCTAGAAAGCGGCGGTTTTACCGAACTGCTCTCAAAGCATGGTTGGTTAAAACAAACAGTATTAATTTACGATCGAAGGCGGATAATCCGATTATCGGTTAATACGAGGTCAGTTAAGAGGGGGTCTACTGTAATATCAAGCGATGGTGATGTGAATTGCCTGGAACTTTTTTCTTGACTAAGTTAGTTGTGTATCCATTCCTTCTCCCTTAATGTATTCCTAAACCGAGTACTTATTCCTCCGAAAATAATATTAATATAGTAACTATAACATTGGACTTGAACAGATAAAATTACTTTCATAGTTTTAAGTCTGCCACACTACTGACAAAGCAAGATGCAGGACTTTATTGTTTGATATAAAAGTTTAGTTTTAAAATAACAGAGATTGAGTCTAGGCTTGTTGCCAGCCTACAAATTGATTCATTTTTTTAAGTTAGGCTGAAAGAATTTACTTTTAACCCTTTGAGTGCCAACGTCCGGGGAACCGGACGTTTTTAAAACGAGCCAAAAGTGCCGACGTCCGGCCGACCGGACGTTTTTAGAACGAGCCAAAAGTGCCAACGTCCGGCTGACCGGACGTTTCGTAATGATCGAACAGTTGTCATAACAACCGAATGGATACTCGGATTCTTTTAACCCATATATTAACATTGAGTCGAAAGTTACTAGATGCGATACATCGATTTTCGTTGGTCGAAATATCGAAAATTCGATTTTTACGAAATTTTAACCTAAAAATCGCCAGATCGCGCTCGGCATTTTTAGCGCGACCTTCGGGAAAAATCATCGGCATTTTTTGAGCGTTACTTTTATTTCTCGCCTGGCACTCTAAGGGTTAAAATAAATAATTTGTATCCATCCATGGTGAAAGTAAATAACAAGACAATGATCTACCCCAGTATGTTATTTTATAAAGAGGAATGAATGTTAGACTGAATAAGTTACTTAAGTCAAAACTGAACTAAATAATTGATTTGATGAAACCAAAAAATAATTTACAGGCCGTGAATATTATAGCACCTATCAAAGAAAAAATAAAATGATCAACTTACCAAAATATAAGTTATTTAATTTTCAAAAAAGTAACTCCCAAAAAGTATCCACTTGAACTGTTTAAGAGAATATTGTGTGGAATAATTGATAGTTCACCATAATTAAGTTTTAAAATCACAGAAATCACTTATTATTCTTGATCACAACCATTAAGGTAATTTTTATATTGTCTATTGTAGAGTTCCCCTAAAGTTTCTCCTCATCATAGCTCAGTCTTCACTTCCACAACTGCAACCACAAAATCATGCCAGGAAATATCGAATCAACAAGTTAATAACAGTTATTTATCAGGTATTACATTAACGGTTTAATTATCCGGTCCATCAGGGTATTAGTATTAACTATTACCGTGATGGACCAAAGGCATGGGGGCCAGTTTAGATAGGGTACAAAATAAACAAGGGTAAATAGTATATTGTCTATAGACTACTTCTTACGCTTTACATATGGTCTCTTTAACAAACTTGTTTAGTAAGCTATTATTAGTTCTTGTACTGAATTCCAAATCTGACATTTTAAGAATATTTATTGTACCAACAGTCGATTTAATATAACCAAGCAAAAGGGAAAGTAATTGTTTTTGCTTTAAGAGCTTACATAAAACAAAAACTTAACCCATAGTATTTCATGTATTTACAATAAATCACTTTCTTCTACCATGTGCACAACATTTTGAAAACATCCTTTTTAGTATGAAAAATATAAAACCATTATGTTTTTTGTGCTTAAACAAACCCTAAGGGCAAAACATTCCCTACAACAATCAATCAACAAGGCATCTCTCAAGACATTTTCTAGCGCAATTGTTATTATCAAACATATTATTACTTATCATTATTCTTTAAGCCCTTGTTGACTCCCTTGAACTCACCTGCTTATCAGAAAGTAATTAACATCTTTGGGGGATTGAATCATATAAATCATCTAGCCATTATAACCCTCACACAACTAAGTGAATGAGTATTAAAAGTTAAATAATAGCAATTCAGAAATAACTGTATGTTACTTTATAAATGACTAAGTATTGAAAAACCCCAACTAGGAAGGTACTAGGAAGGGTGTTAGACATAGCCTAACATATTTTGCAAACGGCAACATCTTTAAATCTTCTGTATTTTAAGCACAAAATCACTAAATAAAAATCAGAGAGAAGTTAAAAGCAAGAAACATATTGTTCTGTTAGTATCTCTACAACTAGGGTATCACAAACACAAAATCTTTGTGAAAGAAACTATAAGCTTCTACAAAACATAACTAACAGAGCTAAATGTGAAATACAAAATCATTTGCTAGGTCTAAAATACAGGTTACGAACACTTGAAACTCACCAACACACAAGTTATCCCTCAGAACGTAGCCAGACGCACATTCGTCGCACATATCGGGTCCATCGCCAGAACAACCGTTGCAAGACGGGTCGCAATCTGTAATGAGCAACAAAATAAAGATTATACATAGCTGGATTCTTGATTCTATCTAATCTAAGGCTATGAATTAGATCAAACACTGCCAGCATAAATTAATTTTACTAGCGCAGCTAAAGCCTATCTGTGGTGAGAATGGTTTTTGCTCAGAGCGATTTTTGTTATCTATATTGTTATACTTGTTCTAGCGACCAGTCAGTGACGGTAGCTGGCTGCAGTCCAGCAATACTGTAATGGCGACCAGTCACAGTGACAGTAGATGAATGCAGTCCATTTGTACCATTATGGTCACCAGTCCCAGTGACGGTAGCTGGCTGCAGTCCAGCAATACTGTAATGGCGACCAGTCACAGTGACAGTAGATGAATGCAGTCCATTTGTACCATTATGGTCACCAGTCCCAGTGACGGTAGCTGGCTGCAGTCCAGCAATACTGTAATGGCGACCAGTCACAGTGACAGTAGATGAATGCAGTCCATTTGTACCATTATGGTCACCAGTCCCAGTGACGGTAGCTGGCTGCAGTCCAGCAATACTGTAATGGCGACCAGTCACAGTGACAGTAGATGAATGCAGTCCATTTGTACCATTATGGTCACCAGTCCCAGTGACGGTAGCTGGCTGCAGTCCAGCAATACTGTAATGGCGACCAGTCACAGTGACAGTAGATGAATGCAGTCCATTTGGACCATTATGGTCACCAGTCACAGTGGCAGTAGCTGGCTGCAGTCAAGCAATACTGTAATGGCGACCAGTCACAGTGACAGTTGATGAATGCAGTCCATTTGTACCATTATGGTCACCAGTCCCAGTGACGGTAGCTGGCTGCAGTCCAGCAATACTGTAATGGCGACCAGTCACAGTGACAGTAGATGAATGCAGTCCATTTGTACCATTATGGTCACCAGTCCCAGTGACGGTAGCTGGCTGCAGTCCAGCAATACTGTAATGGCGACCAGTCACCGTGACAGTAGATGAATGCAGTCCATTTGTACCATTATGGTCACCAGTCCCAGTGACGGTAGCTGGCTGAAGTCCAGCAATACTGTAATGGCGACCAGTCACAGTGACAGTAGATGAATGCAGTCCATTTGGACCATTATGGTCACCAGTCACAGTGGCAGTAGCTGGCTGCAGTCAAGCAATACTGTAATGGCGACCAGTCACAGTGACAGTTGATGAATGCAGTCCATTTGTACCATTATGGTCACCAGTCCCAGTGACGGTAGCTGGCTGCAGTCCAGCAATACTGTAATGGCGACCAGTCACAGTGACAGTAGATGAATGCAGTCAATTTGGACCATTATGGTCACCAGTCACAGTGGCAGTAGCTGGCTGCAGTCAAGCAATACTGTAATGGCGACCAGTCACAGTGACAGTAGATGAATGCAGTCCATTTGGACCATTATGGTCACCAGTCACAGTGGCAGTAGCTGGCTGCAGTCAAGCAATACTGTAATGGCGACCAGTCACAGTGACAGTTGATGAATGCAGTCCATTTGTACCGTTCTGGTCACCAGTCCCAGTGACAGTAGCTGGCTGCAATCCAGCAATACTGTTTATGGCGATCAGTATTTTGCAAAGATTATTAATTATTTAATTACTTTAACTAGATAGGTATTTTAAAATCTATTAACAACTGTGACTAAATTAGATTTCCCAATTGCCTACTTTTATTTCTTAACCAACCTATCAAAACTATACAACAGCGTTAACCAAACAATTTGCAACTTAACAAAATTCTTTTCAGTTTACAAATCTATAAATTAACATTGAAAAGGTTTGTCTTCAACTCTTAAAATCTAGATATACCTTGTAAAATGTCTATTTTTTATATTGACCATGAATTTAATGAATTAATTTTTTTCCAAAATTTCCTTTTAAATTTATAGACACAATCTTTGGCCTTACCTAAACAAGAGTAAGAACCCTCATTGTTGACACAAAACTGGTTCTTGCTGCAAGGTATTTTGTCATCCAAACATTCGTTGATATCAACACAACCTCTCTCCGAGTCCATCAACCATCCTTCAGCACACACCAGACAACCTGTACAAATTATTGAACATGTACCGGTACTGTAGAAACTTAATAAACACAAACCGGTTCTTGTAACTAGTGATCTCAAAAACCACACCTAAAATTTAAAAATCAAACTTAGAAAATCACTAGTGTAGTGTAGCCTGTGGCAGAAGAGGTACCGAAACCTTTAAACTCATCTATTGCGTTAAGAAACAACATTATCAGGAAGAACCTTTCTTAAGGATGACACGGAGAGACTTTCAAGCTTTGGTGTAAAATACAACTTTGACCAACTATTTGAACTCAATGCTCACTCACTGTTACAATACAGTAAATGTTAGAAGACAGGTTAAACCCTGAAAATAAATTTGTATTACTCCAATAGCAAAAAAAGGGATAATAAATCCCACATACTGCTCTATACGTTAATCAATAACGATTTTGGTAAATTTTCTCTTCTATTAGGTACAATTATTCATCATAATTACTCTTTTTGCATAAACTACTATATTACAATTTATCATTATATTGATATTCATGCTAGTATACCTTTGGTACCAGCTTGAGTACAGGCCCCTTGGCAAGCAGCATGACATTTTGAACATAGTAGTTTTTCCTCATCCTTATACGCAGCATAGTAAGCAACGTCACAGTTGTCACAGAACTTGCCAATATAACCCTTATAACAACTGCACTGACCATTGCCCTTCCTTGTACCATTTCCCTGGAAAAATGTGTCTTATTAAAATAGGATGTGAAATGTGAAGGGAACATCATATTGAGGTGACTGATGAAATGACTTGGGTTTATGATACCACAATTAAAGCCTACCAACAACTAGTGATTTGGCCAGGGTAAATTCCTAGTGGGTAGGGTATTTATAAATGAGTATTTACCCAAAGGTGTGAGTATTTATAAAAACAATAGTGTTTTGCACAGTTCAATGAATTGCCATGTCAAAAAAAGTAAAAAATCATAGTTATTTGTTGGTAATAAGGTGTGTTATTTTACGCTCTATTAAGCAGCTATTTGGCAACTTCTTTTTAGCGAATTTCCCATATAGGGAATAAGCTATTACCAATATTTAATTATTCTTATTATATTCATTATGACAAAACCTTCATTTATTCTAACGAGTTCGCGAACCACTAACCAGTATGATCGGACTAGAGGAACGGGGGTTTTATGTGGTAATAATTGGTTTTTCCCATTTTTGACCTTAACCCTCCAAGTGTCCATAGTAATGGTATTAATGTCGGCCCATTTATTTTGTTTGGAAAATTATGGGCTTCAATGTAATATATAAAACATTACCAAAAAAAATTTCTACAATTTTTGTGGGGTTAACATTTCTCAAAAATTATAAAATAAATGACAAAAATTTATGTTCGCGCTCAATAAATTTTTATAATTTTAGGTCTACAAATATTTTAAAATAGCCACTTTGTTCTAAATTTTATGAGGATTCCAAAAATATAATAATATAAGGAAGTAGGTTTGCAAATAAATAAGTTATGGGTGAAAAACAGATTTCGTACATTCAGCGTTAGCTAAGAATGCATAGCCTAACCATGGCTAGGAATCTGGCAGATAATTTACATCAATATCACTACCTACTTCTTCAGGATCATCAACCAGCCCTTCAAAATCACTTAAATCTTCTTATAATGCACCACGTATATCACTACTTTTTATTTGTAACACTAAAACAATGATAAACGTAATAAAACACATGAAACACATCTGATTCAGTCAGTCTCAGAGCCTTCACCATAAACGATGTTTGTGTGTCGCAAAAGCAACGCGTAACACCACGTCGGGTGTGTTGTGCGTCGATTACGCAACGTTTAAAACTCGGAGGGTTCAAATCATAAAATTTGACAATTTATTTCCAATCCCTTTGTAGAGCTAAAAATAACAATTTAGTACATTGAAGCGTTGTTATGCGCCTAATAGCTATGGAGAAAATTCCTAAAAATTGTAAATGTAAAATTCCCATCTTATTCTTAAGGAGAGAATAAGTAAACTGTTATTCCTAGTTTGCTTTTTATGTATATATTTTGATTTTGATTGAATTTTGCAAATTTCTTTATTTCATATTGAACTATCGACATTTCAATAAAAAAACATACCTTATTACCTTCCCTGTAGCAGCAAAGCAAACCTAAGTAGTATTCATTCAAATTAATGTTATTTATATAGGAAACAAATGGGACAATTTAACACGTTCGCTACTGCAATAGTACGAAATTTTTCATTCACGTGGACCAGCGACGCACATATGCGTCGGCCGGTTTCCACCCATAGACTGCCGTCGCATATATGCGTCGGCTAGTCACATTAAAATAGACTGCCGTCGCATATTTGCGTCGGGGTTCTAATGTTATTAAAATTCTTATATCTTTGTAACGGTCTATTTGAAGGCACTGAATTCCCTGCAGTGGTCTACAGGGATGTCTGACGCACAACTGCGTCGCTTGGTCTGTGGATATGATGATTGGTGACGTCATATGATAGTTGGAAAAACTGGTCTTTAGTTTTCTGCATCACTATATGTATGTATGCAATATGTATGCTGCATTATCCTATGTAGCTTTTATTTTTTTTCAGTTATAAACTGTTCTTTATCAATCTGTTTTTAATTTTACTTACTTTCACCTCAAAACACAAAAAAATGAACTGTCGCATATATGCGACGTTTGGTCTATTTCAAGAAAACTATGATAATTTCCCCTATTGTCTTTGCTGTAGACCGGGCGTCGCAGATATGCGACATTACAAAAGGTTATAAATAATACAAAAAAACAAGAATACATTATTTACAAACACGATTGTAGCGTATTACAATGTAAATGATCACTGTTTTACAGGTTTTCGCCCGTGGTCTGTGTGTACTGTTATCCAAGTGACAGCCGGTCTATTTGTAAGATTCAAATGTATACCTCGGTCTGTGGCAATGACCGCGGCGTCGCATATATGCGACGCTCAGTAGCGAACGTGTTAAGGAAATATTTAAGTGGAAATCCGACCAGACGGATGGAAATTTGCTTAGTCTGCAAGTTTGCTGCGGCGGGGGTATTTGTATTTTTCAAAAGATTCTAAGGATTTAATATTTTCAGGCAGTTTATTATACAGTTATTTCCCTAGATATTGTGGAAGTGTTTCAATTTAGATAAGACTATGAATGGGCAGTTAGTTGTAAATTATTTCAGTGTCGTGTTAAATAATTATGGATAAAACGACGGAAGTGTGAATATTTTCAATTCCCTGAATACGTAATGACTTACAGGATTGTCTGGGTTTTGAAAATGTCATAATTCTAGGTATCTTTTTTTTAGTTTTGAAAATGGTTTTTAGCATTTGAGAAGCTGCCTCAGATGTTAGTACTTTTTCAATGTATCCTGCATCATTGTGTCGATGCACAAGTATTGGACCAAGTCGGGAGTTGTTTTCTGGCCAGTCCTCCACCCCGTTTCCAAACGTATGTATAAATACTTATATATTTTACATCTCTACTAACAACAAAATCTTTTTGCTTGTAAACCATCTAGTGGAATCTACTTGAATTTGATTTGGTTAGAGAACAAATATTGACCACAAAGAAAAATGTTTCTGTTGTCATATGACCTCTGAGATTCACAACATGAACAAGATAACTAACTTATATTTTATTTGCCAATGAAAGGTTTAAAGTAAAAGTAAGTAAGTAAAAAGTTAAAGGTGTGTCCCTATTTGCAAATCAAGCAAACTCATAATTTGGGAACAAAAGTTGTCTCTACCTCATAATCCTGGATATCCATCACATAATTTTGCTTTGAACATCTGGCTTGTGTAACATCTTTTGCTGTCATCATCAGCTGTTTTATAAGTCACATAAATTAACTTCTGTGCTTATTAAAAAAGGATAAATTCATAGATTATTGTCTTTATTTGAGTGATTACCTTACACTTTCCATTGTTGTTGCATATTCTGTCAGGATATCCTGGACAAGGATCACAGTTGATACCAAAATGTCCGATGGGGCAGCAGTACTTCATTGTGTCGATGCACAAGTATTGGACCAAGTCGGGAGTTGTTTTCTGCCCAGTCCACCACCACGTTTCCAAATGTTCATCCCAGTCTTCAGCTAAGGTCAAACACTATAACATATGTACATATGTTTGTTGTATGTTGGCACTATATCGGTCATTGATCATAGTTTTTGTAGCAATACAAAGAGATGCCTAATTTTTAACAGTACCTACAACACATGTGAAAAGAGATATGTGTGCAACCAAGGCTGCATGCATGCTTTTATAAAACATTCCATGACATTATTCACGATTAGTCCTGTCTATTGCTGCACCAAGCCAAGTTTTTTACTCTCTGGACAGCCCTCATATCTTTCTTATTCTAATTTATTGGATGAACACAAGATTTTTATCAAGAAGTGGAATTTACTGTAATTTTTTACGGACGAAGGATCCAATTGCACTTGATTTGCACTTTGATAACAGTTTTTAACACGGACACACAATCATAAATTATAGTTGTTCCTTTAATGTGAGTCTTATAATTTAACAGCATACAATCAGCAGTTCCTGAACCGCAATAAACGGCAGACCACTGCACAATGAGCTCGCTCACAAATGACAAATGTTTGTCAAGCCTAGCTTATTACAGATTACAGACTGAAATAAGTAGGCTACATCATAAACATTACCTGGTCTTTGGCCCTTTCGTCTTCACACAAGTGCTCTTGAATCTCAACAAGTCGTACCTCACTAGTTGCATATGACCCTAATTTTTCTTCTTCCCAGGCTGTATCTCCTCCGCCGAAATGACTTCTTTCAGTACGTTCCATACCCTGAAAAACAATGTTTTTAGATATGAGCAAGGAACAACTCAATTGATTCACTGTTAAATAACTGTATTTCATTGCTGTTGTGAATTTTGTTTTATGTCCCCTATTAACTGTTTAAATTAAGCAAGCCTGATGACCGTAAACACAAATGGACCAATAATGTAATAGGCCTAATTTGTAATATTTCGCTGAGCATGTGAAATTTAGCGTTCCTCTCTTTGGATTTGCCTCACAAATGAAGCTTGAGCTTTTAAGTTACAGGAAAATGCCACTTTCGATACTAGTAGTATAATATTTCCATTTACCTTGAAGGCCTTTAGCTTTAACTCTAAAGCTTGGTGGATATGGTTAAGCATCATAAACCAGGGGTCCAATGTAGGAAAAACCCTTTTCCCTAACACAGATCTGACCTGCGGTAACTGCAGCAGGCCATTCTGGTAAGTGCCTACTCTGCTAATATAGGTACCTCGAATCAAGTAGCATACAAACTACTAGCAATCTAGCCATAGTACAAACTACATCTGGCAATAACTAGGGCCTACTTGGTTTCCATCACCGTGTCTTGCATTATTTAGCTTACTCTTGCGTGGGCTATAGCTGGCTATTCTGTAAGAGCATGGTCAATCCTATCACTCAAAACTAGAGACAACTTTGAATTAGGCCTAGGTACCGGTAATTTCATTTTAATCATGATTTAAAAATATTATAAAATATAGGTGTTACGGGATAAGAAGTAAATCAATACAATTTAAAAAAAACATCGATACTTGTTTTAAAATTCAGAACCAACTACAAGCTACAGTAGACTCTTGATAATTCGAAATTGGTGGGCCAAGCATATAAATTTGAATTATCAAGAGTTTTGAATTATCAAAAGTTTGATTTATCGGGAGAAAAATAAACCATTTGAATTACAGAGAGTTTGTTTGTTTAATACATACAAAGGTACAGCACGTTACAATAAAACATCATACCGTATTTTAGTACACTTTTAAACAATCAACGGCTTACTTTTCAGTTAATTAATGTACATAGTTGCAAAGAAATCTGTTATTTAGCGCTATATATTTCGCCAATAGCTGAACTATCAGCTGTCGGCAACTACGTTTGTGCTCAAGGAGATGTCGCGCAATCTAGAGATCGGATTGCCAACTTAGAAAAACAAGTGAGCGAACTAACTCAGACTACTGCTCTAACTAAACAAACATCAAAACGTCCAACACTAGCCTACCATGGGAACAGGATGTACTGTACTGTATAGTTTCCTGTTATAACAGGAAGAGATCACTTTGAATTATAGAGTGTTTTGCCAACTAAACTTCGAATTACTGCGTGACTTTGATTTATAGAGTGTTTTTTCGACAAAACTTCGAATTACAGCATGACTTCGAATTATAGAGTGTCAACCGACGAACTTCGAATTACTGAGTTACTTCGAATTATAGAGTGTTTTTCCGACGAAAATTTGAATTACTGCGTGTTACAAATTGACCTGCCCTCCATTTGGACTTTAAAATACCGTACCGAGTGTATCAAAATGCATGGTAAAAATTTGAAATATTGAGAGATTCTCTAGGGACTGAGCCTTCATTTTGAATTATCGAAAGTTTTGAATTATCAAGTGTTTGAATTACCAAGAGAGAAACTGTATTCCAAAGTGCTCTATTTTAAACCTCTGTGATAAGAGTACAAAACATACCAGTGAACCGTATGCTGCGCTGATGATTCTTTCCAGGTGTTGAGTTGAAAATCCCAGGCAACAACAACCCTAATATGATCATCTAGGAAAAGTGGGACACATTGATGCAAGCATAAACTCAACTAGTCTAGGCCTATATGCCTATCTAAGCTCTTACCTTCAAAAAAGAATCTGCTACCATTTTACAGGCTTGACAAGGAGGTAGCTTCAGGCTGGTTAAATGCTTATCCAGTTCTTTGTTTGGTCTTAACTGACCTTCACAGAAGGAAAACAAAATTACTGAGAGGACATAAACCTTTCCGCCAAGCTCTTTAACCATTGTTTATTATCCCTTTAAAGAGTCTTTTGTCACTGAGATTGGTCCAAGACTTACTGGTAACACTGGCAAATAACAGATCAAGTATTTATCAGCTTGTTTAAATTACCAACCAAGACCATTCAAATTTCCTACATAAAAAGATAGACCAAGAGGCCTAGTCTATTTCTGATAATTCCCCAAGTTAAGCTAGTCGGTTAAACAATCCTCTTGTCAGGTTGGCGATAAATAATAAATACAGTACAATAAAACGTTCTCGTATACTCGCTACGGTATTCGAATGATATAATGCCTATTAACACCCGTCACCTACCTAACTTATTTTTGTTATGTTATGGCAAGGAAGGATACATATTATGATATTAACCTATTAACCCAACAAAACAACTTCATGTTCGGCAGATTTGTTTTGTAGAGGGGAGGGGATAGCCAGTACGTGTCTGTCAGTCTGTCGTCTGTTGTCTGCCAAACCAGAGAGAAATGAGCTACAGTTATATCTGGAGGTAGCACCAGAATGGAGTTTGATCATTGTTTATATTTTTTATTATATGTAGTCAATTTTTTTTATCCAAAACGAGCCTAGGCTGGTAGCACCGTCGCGTCGTTGGGATTAAGGCATGAAATATTAAATTTAAAGTATATATAAGGTACATTTTAATTCATAAAGAAAAAAACTTAATGCCAACCAATGCAACTCAATTTAACAATACAATATTAAGTTATAATTTTTACATCACTATAAGATACACTTTTTTTGCAAAATCAATAGAAGGTTATAACCCCACCACAGGAAACCTGCAGACAAAGTAAATTTCCATTTGCATGGTTACTGGTTGGATTTTCTCTAAAATATTTCCTCTAAAAATACGTGTCAGGAGCATTCCATATTATTTAAACAATAGTACAGTAGTTCACAAATAGTTCTTAAGTGTGGTGAAATGTTGATACCTTAGTTACAAATTAGTCAAATACATGTACATTTAATGTGATCTGATGACATTTGATACGATGTAGTATAATTTGATGGTGTTGGTATGAATTTGTCGAATTTTAAGCATAACCGTACTATAACAATTTACTCACTGTCCAAGACAACAACATGGACTTTAGTTAATGATTGTGTCTCAAGTTATTGTTACGTGATATTGTATGTTGTGGTATGGGAATACTCAGTGAGTTAATGCGGTTCTTTTCAGATATTATTTATTGAAATCTGACGGGTTTGGGGTGAGTTATAAGCTTAAACGTAGAATAAAAGTATTTTTTTCTTAACTTTCTTCTGTATTTAAAGACATATTTCTCAGCTGCTATGTGTGCTATGTTATTCGTTCTGGTCTAAAAACACTAGGTCAACTTATAACTTTCATTTAAGACAATTTTCATTTAAATATGTAGAGTTTAAGGTGAGTTGTAGACCTCTAACTAACATTAGGTTTTTCAATTTTTAAGGACTGTCTTTTATTAAAGATCTATATCTCAAGATCTAAATAAGCTGTGTTAATCATTTTGGTAAAGAAAACCTCAGTAAGCTATGGGTAAACTCAAATATGAACCTAACCTGGTTTATTCCTATCAAGTTTTTTGTTGTTGTGTTGATATACACCAGTGAATAGAATTGAAAAATATGTAGTTGTTTGAGCTCAAACTTACCTTGTACAGTATTTTGCCATTGTGGATATAATACCTGTTTAAATAGAAAAATACAAACTCAAGACGTCGGTGAAGACTATGACAGTGTAGAATAATGAGTTAATAACCCCGCTACAGCAAACCTGACGAATGAGCAAATTATCATTTGCCTGGATTGATTTTCAATTAATCTATTAAATTCACATTTATGTTTAACGATTACCTAGGTTTGCTGTTAAAGGAAAACTAAAAAAGTGTATTTTTTATTAAAATATTAATAGCTTAGTATAGAATAAATAAATCTGTCAAGTTTGATCAAAATATATCCAAAAACAAGCCAACTAAAACATTTTACAATTTTCTCCATAAGAATAACATGGGATTTTAAATTAACTACTTTTTAAATTTTCTCTATATATATATATATATATAAATTTGAGCGAAAGAGTGTTTTTGGCCTCTGGGGCAGCAAAATGATGTAAATCGGTCCCGGGCCTAGGTCTTACCATGAGACCTACAGTAATAACTACTTCCCTATAGAGAAATCGCTAATAGTCACTAAGGTTACTGAAACGTTATTTTCAAGTTATTTCTACATGCAGGCCTATTATGTAAGTTAAAATTTTACATGAATAAAATATTTATGTTACAATACAAAATAATAAAACTCAACTTTGTTGAAATCGATATTATTAATTTTGTTAACTAATTGTCTTTTTCAATGTAACGCAAATACTAACAAGCATAGCCACAAGTGCTACGGGAATTCAAGTTAACTTCAAAATCGAGTATTATTATTACATGCCATAATAATGGTGTAAAGAATGTGTCTTGCTAGTAACTTATAGAAGCTCAGGTTTAAATTGGCAAAACTTATATTTTGTTCGCTTATAGGTAACACTAAAACAAGGTCGTATAACAAGTTTTATAATTGGGCAAAAAATTCAATTCTTAAAGATAAAAACCACGTTTTCCGCCACCAGTTTGAAACAGCTTTGATATGGCTAATATCTGGTAAATTTATGAGTAACATTATAACGAGGTTTCATACTAAATTTCATGATACTCGAACTAAAAAACGCATAGTTTATAGCTTAATTACCATGTTTTAAATTAATCGATTTATTTAATAATATGGACAATTATTATCTCAAATTCTAGAAGTTGCCCAAAGGTACTTCGTAAGTACCCACTATTTTCTGCATCTATATAATACCAAAATAAAATATCATCAGTAAAAAAACGCAATAGAACAAAACAGGGTTCAAAGAAAATTCCCTGTTTGGTTGCCGGACTATTCCCAATTTACAAATCAACAAATTACAAGAACAATTATTGATTTATTGATTGATGATCTATACCTAAAAATTTTTGAAACCCAATAATTAATATTTTTCATGAAATAAAGTACGTTACCGACTGTTTTCATATAAATACATAAAACATAACATAATAATCACTAAAGATATAGGGCTTTGATGAGACTTTTTATAATTAAAACTACTCTTTTTGGGGGGGTCCATAACTAGCTATATCCTATGATTTGAATTATAATTCGCGTAAATGAAAGCCGTTGGTTTATTGAGAATTTTGATGCCAAAAACAGTAGAAAAGAACTACAGAATATTCATAGGAAGAATTATATAAATTATTTTCATTTATTAGATACATACCCCTCTTTGTCATAGAAAAAATAAATAAATGTTATTTTTTACACATTGTTGTGACGTTATCATTGATTCAACAAAGATCCCTATAGGTACATTGGATGCACAATTTTAAGATCTACAACTTTTGTAACATGTATCATGGCCTTTTTTCAGAGATTTTAGCACAAAGTTGAAAAAAGTAGGGATAGAACATATTTTTTATGTAAATGATTAACTTTAAAAAGAAATACTGGCTTTAAAACACACAATATATAGTTAAAATATGATATTTTCCTTCATAGAATTTAACTGTGAGTATTTTAAAAGTGTTTGCACTGCTGTAGGTAGCATAGTATTTTCATAACATAGTTTTAAGACATAAGACATAAGACATAAGACATAAGATCAATTTATTTCCTGTAAAACTTACAATATACAAGTCATTGGAAAACGTCAAATTCTACATTATAAAATACATTATAAAATATACATAGATCTATGAATAAAAGAAATTCCTTCAACATCATATAATAAAAAGGAAATGCATACATAATGTGACCTGTAACTCACCATGCAAAGAATGAAAAAGAAAACAAAACAGCACACTCGGCAAACATCAGTCAAAAAAAAGTACTTACATATTCTTGTTTTAGTTTATAGAAATCATCAATACTATACAGTGGGTTGGCCAGGAGGAGACATTCCACGCCCCTTTTGAAATGGTTACTTGGGAGGTTCCGGGCTGAACAAGATAACACATTGAATAGTTTTAGGCTTACAATGTCATAATTACTTTGTGATTTCTTAAGCCTAACAAAAGGTACATTTAAATCCTGTTTACTTCTAGTATTGTACGAGTGGATGTCACTCCTGAGCTCGAGAGCGCCCAACTCCTCCTTAGTTTTGATGAGGGTCTGGAAGATAAACAGATTATAAACCGTCATGAGGGATTCAGCCTTAAAGATAGGCTCACAGTGATCCAGGCGCTTGGCCCCTACTACTATTCGTATAGCCTTTTTTTGGAGAAGTAGGACTCTCTCGACTCCAGGAGCGGCACCCCAAAGTCTCAGTCCATAAGTGATGATGCTCTGGAAAAAAGCCACATACGCAGTCCTTAACCACTCTTTTGGTACACAGTACCTTAACTTACGAAGCAAGTGCACAACCCTAGCCAGTCGGCTACAAACATAATCAATATGGCTGTTCCAATCCATCTTACAGTCTAGGTAAATGCCTAAAAGCTTTACGCTTGTTACCTCATGTTCAATGTTTCGGAGACTGAAAACAATAGATTGGGTTTTATCTTGATTTAGAAAGAAATAGTTTGCCCGGAACCAGGTAGATGCAACATTTAAAGATTGGTTCAAGGCTAAGTTCAACTCAACAGCACTATTTCTAGCTTCCACAATTGTGGTGTCGTCTGCATAGCAAACAACACTATTACCAAGGCACATGGGAAGGTCATTAATCATTATATTGAAGAGCAGGGGCCCGAGTACAGAGCCCTGCGGAACACCATGGGTTAGGTTTCTGATACTTGAGGTTTTACCATTTAGGGACACCAGCTGCCCGCGTTCGGCCAGATAGGACCTCAGCAGATCAAGGCTTTTAGCATTCAAGCCATAGAAATTTAACTTTTTTAATAAAATTTCATGGTCAATAGTGTCAAAGGCCTTGCTGAGGTCACACAGGGTGGCCCCAGCAAAACCGCCACCTTCAAACGACTCAAAGATAGGCTTAGTCAAAGAGTACACTGCATCTATTGTGCCGCGGCCCCACCTGAAACCGAACTGTAAGTAACTGTAAGTAAAAGCTTACACTGTAAATTACGTTTTCCGCCATTTTTCAAGATGGCGGCTGTTGCCCAAGGGTACCAAAAAAGTACCCGGTGGTTTTATGGTCTACATACCCTATATAACTCAAAACAACAATAAAAAAAAATTGAATAGAACAAAACCAGGTTAGGGACAAAATCCTCATTTGGCTGCCGGACTAGTCCTCATGGTTTAGATATAAGTAGGCCTAACTGCTTCACAAACCACTACCAAGTAATAAACAAATAGGAATATTTGTTTTACTGTGTTTAGTTTGAGATAATAGGACTACTGAATAATTT